TGATACTCCTCCCTCCCTAAGGTGGAGCTTAATTATTAAACCTCGAATATGGCACTTGGTGACCTGCTTCTAATAGAATGTGGAGGTATGTGACTTCCAAGACTAGGTCATGAAAGGTACCATGCTTCCTTCTTGTGCCCAAATCTTTCACTCTGAAGGAGGTCAGTCACCATGTCATGAGGATACTCAAGCAGCTCATGGAAAGACCCAGATGGGGAAAATTTAAGGCCTCCAAACAACAACCAGCACCATATTTGTGCACCATCTTAAAAGCAGAACCTCCAGCCCCAGTTGGGCCTTCAGATGACTGCAGCCCCTGTGACATCTTGACTACAACCTCATGGGAAACTCTGAACCACAACCACCCAGCTAAGCTGCTACCAAATTCCTGACCCAGAGAAACTATAGGATAATATCTATGACTTTAAGTCACTAAGTTTTGGGGCAATTTGTTACACAGTAATAGATAAACACTTGCCCAAGATCATAAGATCAGTAAGTGGTGATTTGTTTTTTTTTTATTTTTTTATTTTTTTGTTTTTTAAGAAAGAGTCTCACTCTGTCACCCAGGCTGGAATGCAGTGGTGCAATCTCAGCTCACTGCAACCTCTGCCTCCCGGTTCAAGCGATTCTCCTGCCTCAGTTTCTGAGTAGCTAGGATTACAGACGCATACCACCATGCCCAGCTAATTTTTGTATTTTCAGTAGAGACAGGGTTTTGCCATGTTGGCCAGGCTAGCCTCAAACTCTTGACTTCAGGTGATCTGCCTGCCTCAGCCTCCCAAAGTGCTGAGATTACAGGCATCAGCCACTGCACCCAGCCAGTGGTGGAGATTTGAATACTGGTTTATCTATCCCAAAAGCTCAGGCTCCTAATTCTGCCTGAAGTATACTGTAGTTTATATTTCACTTCCTTTAAAAAGCCTTGACAGAGTCTCCCCCTCAAAAGTAATCTTCATCCAATCTGTATCATTAAGCCGTACTCAAAATGTCCATCCATAATACTCGTATAATCACCTTATTTGCCCAAGTCCCGTCTCACTTCATGGTTGACTTCCCAGCTGTGGGCTCTCAGCTTTAGTACCTACATCCTAGTGTTGTTGTGAAGATTAAATGAGATGGCATGTATCAAAGCACTTAGTGAAGAAATGACTCAATTATACTATTCATTAGTTCCTGGATGCAGCACTTTTTCTATCCTATGGATGGATAAGCTCTTAATCCTGGCTATATATTAGAATTACCTAGGAAGCTTAAAAAAAAAAAAAAAGCAAAAAAACAACGCCCAGGCTATACCTGAAGATTATGATTTGATCAATCTGGGTGAAGTTAGGTACCAATATTTTTCCAAAGTTCCCTGGGTGATTTTATTTTATTTATTTGTTTATTGAGACGGAATCTTGCTCTGTCACCCAGGCTGGAGTGCAGTGGTACCATTGATACAGGAGTGCTGGGAAGGGAAGATCGTGGTCCCTTTAAATAATACAGAAGGTGGTAGGGGAAGTGCTGCATAGAGGAGGGCGTGGTCCTTGGCTAGGGCTCCACCCCCAGGGACCTAGATGAGAATGGGCATTTCCTGCCCAAATGTTGCATTTCCCAAGACCACCCTGGCTTGCCACGCACCCCCATCCTGGGCATATAAAAGCCCGAGACCCTAGCGGGCAGACACACAGGCAGCCAAACGTGGACAGAAACACATCAGTGTAAAAAGACACAAGCAGCTGCTCATCGAGAGGATGTTGAGAGGAGCACGCTGGCAGAAGAGCACAGGGACAGGCACAGGCACCTGGCAGGATGAGACTGAGTTTGGCGAGGGCAGTTAGTCGGAGGAGAGCTGTAGCCGCCCAGCAGCCCAACTCCATGGGAAAAACCATGGAGCCCTTCTGGCTCCTCCATTGGCTGAGAGCTACTTCCACTCAATAAAACTTTGCACTCATTCTCCAAGCCCACGTGTGATCTGATTCCTCCGGTACACAAAGGCAAGAACCTGGGATACAGAAATTCCTCTGTCCTTGCAACAAGGTAGAGGGTGAATTGAGCTGGTTAACACAGACCGCCTACAGATGGCAAACTAAGAGAGCACCTGGTAACACACGCCCACTGGGGCTTCAGCTATAAATTCACCTATAGACACCGCCATTGGGTGGGAGCCCCACAACCTGCCTATCTGTATGTTCCCCTAGAGGTGTGAGCAGCAGGGCACTGAAGAAGCAAGCCACATCCCCGTTGCATGCCCTGCGAGAGGGACAAGGTAACTTTTCCTGTTTCACCATCTTGGCTCACTGCAACCTCTGCCTCCTGGATTCAAGCAATTCTCCTGCCTCAGCCTCCCAAGTAGCTGAGATTACAGGCATGCACCACGATACTTGGCTAATTTTTGTATTTTTAGTGGAGATGGGGTTTTACTGCATTGGCCAGGCTGGTCTCGAACTCGTGACCCCAAGTAATCTGCCCACCTCGGCCTCCCAAAGTGCTGGTTTAAAGTTCTGAAACTACTGGACTAAATCAGAGGTTCTCAACCAGAGGCAATTTTCCCTCATTCCCGTTGGGGACATACAGTAGTGTCTGGAGATAGTCTTGATTGTCACAACTGGTAGGAGGGTGCTACTGGCATCTAGTGGGTGGAGGCCAGAGATGCTGCAAAACATCCTACAATGCACAGGTCATAGCTCCTTACAGCAAAGAATTATCCAGTCCTAAATGACAATAGTGCCAAGGTTGAGCCAACCTGGATTGGATATTTCCCGGCTCCTACCTTGTTCTCCTTAAGAATTTTGGTTTTTACTTGCTTCTCTGACTATTCCTACTTGAGACAAGAAGAATGCAGCATTTGAGTTCCTGCCTTGGACCAAATCTGGGCACCAACCAGCTTGGAAGAATGCAGCATTTGAGTTCCTGCCTTGGACCAAATCTGGGCACCAACCAGCTTGGCCGCTGCCCCAGCTGGGCTGGCTCCAGGCCCACCAGGAAGGGCACGTGGATGGTCTCATGCTTCCCCACTTCCCTTTAATGCTTTGTTAACATTTGTATTACAACACTCACTACAGAAAGTACAGCAAGTCGTAAACACGTCTCCCTCACCCCAAGGGCCAGGGCCATACTTTATTCATCTCTGTTTTTTCCACAGCACCAAGCTCTGTTCAGTTGAACTGGGTAGGTGTTCAATAGATATTCATTGCATCAAATAGATTAATATCACTTTAATTTTTATCATGCATCTGGGCATCTCTTTGAAACGTAATGGATGTAGAGAATACAAATGCCAGTTAAAGCAAGAGCTCTTGTGTTTCTGTTCCTGTGGAGTGCAGCTGAAATGACTGCTACTGCTTCTTTACGGTGTATTTACATGAGCATCCTGTGGACATCAGTGCCATTTAAAATTAAGATATTTGGATCAATAATCTAAGAGGATTCTTATTAGAGAAGTTATCTTATTTTTAAGATTATTTTTCATTGGTTATTACAAATGGAAAAATGTTTTATCTTCAAGGCAAAGCAACAACTCAGAGAATGATACTCAAACAAACTTGTCTTAGAAAAATATATGTAAATCAATAAATTTTGGGCTATACATTTCATAGCGGATAAAATCAGGCTCAGGTTTAAAAGCTAAATAAGAAACAAGGTTTTCCGATGTTTCTCTCCTTTCAATGTGTAATCTTAGATTAAAAAAAAAAACTGGTTAATATCTGGGATTTTTTAAATTCTCAAAATTGCAAAAGTCAGCCAAAGGTCTGTTCATCTTGGCATTCTCAAAGAGGGCAGATTTAAGTAAAATATGTGACAACTGAGAACTGAGAATCTAAACTCTTCTTTGAGACAGAATCTCACTCTGTCCCCTAGGCTGGAGTGCAGTGGTGTGATCTTGGCTCACTGCAACCTCTACCATCCAGGTTCAAGCGATTCTCCTGCCTCAGCCTCCCAAGTAGCTGGGATTACAGGCACGTGCCACCATGCCCAGCTAATTTTTGTATTTTTAGTAGAGATGGGGTTTTGCCCTGTGGGCCAGGCTGGTCTTGAACTCCTGATCTCAAGTGATCCACCTGACTCGGCCTCCCAAATTGTTGGGATTACAGGCATAAGTCACCATGCCTGATCAGATATAAACCAATTTTTTTTTTTTTTTTTTTAGATGGAATCTCACTCTGTCACCCAGGCTGGAGTGCAATGGCACCGTCTCGGCTCACTGCCAGTTCTGCCTCCCAGGTTCACACCATTCTCCTGCCTCAGCCTCCCAACTAGCTGGAACTACAGGTGCCCGCCACCACTCCTGGCTAATTTTTTTGTATTTTTAGTAGAGACAGGGTTTCACCGTGTGAGCCAAGATGATCTCAATCTCCTGACCTCATGATCCACCTGCCTCGGCCTCCCAGAGTGCTGGAATTACCGGCGTGAGCTACAGTGCCCGGTGAAAGGAAGTTTATTAAAAAATTAAAGGAATAAAAGAATGGCTACTCCATAGATAGAGCAGCATAAACTGATTTTATATAGCTAAATAAGAGGTCTGGAAGGTTGCACTGTAGACTGAACTGATTACTTCAATGTGGGGAGGAAACCCATATTAGAATGGTCAAATAGTTTTAATTTTATCTGTCATGTTCTTTATTGTAAATGAAGAATCGATGCAGGTAACTTACTATTTAAGCTCTTTTAGTATTTTCTAAGTATTTAGAAAAGCTTAGTCATATTTCCTGAGACATAATGACCATCAGAGAGAGAGAGAAAAAAATGAAGGGAATGAAGGGATAAATTACTTAGGATAAGAATTTTTTTTTTTTTTTTTTTTTGGTTTTCTGGAGTGCTTCTTGAATGAAATTACTGGCATGATTAGGATAAGGTTAGCCTAGGCTAAGAATAACTAGAGACAAGATTGTCAGAAATATGACTGGCCCAAAGTCCTGGATGGATCACATCAGTTTGTTCTCTTAGATTGAAGAAAACTATTATTAATGCAATAATAAATCAGGAATAAATTATTCAAAGCCTTGTGTCATACTTACTGTTGCTTTAGCCACTCCTCCACAAATGGAATGGAGAAAAATTCTGTGAATGGCTCCCCTGCCCTCTTTGGATTTTGGCTGGTCACGATGCCATATGTTTGATTGACAAGAAAACAATAAGCAAGAATTCAAGTCAGTTGTTGCTATTCTGCTTGCAAATTAACACGACTGAATTCTTAGGATCACTGAATCGTCAGACATGAACAACTTACTTGTATAACCACTCGGTCAGAAAATCACAGGCAATGAATTTGGTTCTTTTCCTCTAAAGAGAGAAGAGATAATTAAATTACAGCTCACCCTTAAACAACATGGATTTGAACTGCACAGGTCTACTTATACATGACACTTTTCAATAAACCTTAACACCGGCCGGTGTGGTGGCTCATGCCTGTAATCCCAGGACTTTGGGAGGCCGAGGTGGGTGGATCACTTGAGGTCAGGAGTTCGAGACCAGCCTGGCCAACACAGTGAAACCCTGTGTCTACTAAAAATACAAAAATTAGCCAGGCATGGTGGCGGGCGCCTGTAGTCCTAGCTACTCAGGAGGCTGAGGCAGGAGAATTGCTTGAACCCGGGAGGTGGAGGTTGCAATGAACCGAGACTTCGCCACTGCACTCCAGCCTGGGCAACAGGGTGAGACTATGTGTCAAAATAACAAAAAACTTAACACCAAGTGTGCCTGCCTCTCCTGCCTCCCCTTCCACCTCTGCCACCCCTGAGACAGCAGGACCAATCCTTCCTCTTCCTCCTTCTCAGCCTACTAAACCTGAAGATGAGGAAGAAGACCTTTGTGACGATCCACTTCCACTTAATGACTGGTAAGTATATTTTCTCTTTTTTATAATTTTCTTAATAAATTTTCTTTTGCTACCTTACTTATAAGAATATAGTATATAATACATATAACATACAAAATTTGTGCTACTGGTAAGGCTTCCAGTCAACAGTAGGCTATTAGTAGTTAAGTTTTGAGGGAGTCAAAAGTTTTATGTGGATTTTCTTTCTTTCTTTTTGTGACAGGGCCTCATTCTGTCACCCAGGCTGGAGTGCAGTGGCGTGATCTCAGTTCACTGCAACTTCTGCCTCCCGAGCTCAAGTGACCCTCCCACCTCAGCCTCCTCAGTACCTGGGACTACAGGCACACACCACCACACCTGGCTAATTTTTGTATTTTTTGTAGAGATGGGGTTTCATCATGTTGCCCAGGCTGGTCTCGAACTCCTGAGCTCAAGCAGTCTGCCCTGCCTTGGCCTCCCAAAGTGCTGGGATTACAGGTGTAAGCCACTGTGCCCGGCCAAAGTTGTAAGTGGATTTTTTACTGCACGGGGGTTTGGCATCTGTATTGTTTAGGAGTCAACTGTATATTCTTACTTTGCCCACATGTCTGAGTAGGAAAAAGGAAAGGAGGTTAATTGATTGCTTGTGTTAGATGAAATATGCATGAATCCTTTATGAGATTTATAAGAACATCAAGAAACAGTAACTTGGGCAAATAATTCTAAAGACATTTCTTTAGTCCTCTTTCAATAAGCACATTTTCTGACATTAGGTACTAATAAAAGATAGTGCTCATATTGGGGTTTATTACATACTTTTGGAATTGGAGGATTTTGTTATTTAAATTTAGACTATGCTTCTCTTTTATGAGTAATTGTATATATTGCTTTACCCCAGATTCACTCAAGTCCTCTGAACAGCAGTCCTTTGGGTCTGAGTGCCACCTTCATGAGACACCCCGCACACAGGTGCCACCAGCGGTGTGGCTGACCCTGCTAGCTCTCCACCCAAGGTCTACTCTCCACTTCAGCCTTATTAACAGGAACATGATTGCTTCCAAATGGCAGTCAGCTCAGCCAAAGATCTACATTTCCCAGGCTCCCATGTAGCAAGGGACAGCTATGTCATACAGTTCTGCCCGATGAGATAGAAACAGACATATTCTAGGGACCTCTGAGAAAATTCTGCTTTCCTGATTTCTGCTGCCCCTTCCTCCTTGAAGTTTCATATTACTTCTTCAGGCTGGAACACAGATGTGGGGCTGCAAGTGGAGCAGCCCCTTTTAGCCATGAGGCCCAAAGCCACGTGCTAAGGATGGTGAAGCAGGGGATAGAAAGAGCCTGCGTCTTCCTTAAGCCACAGCGCCAGCTTGGGCCTGCCCTACTCTGGACATCTAAATGTGTAAGGAGAAATAAACTTCATTCGTTTTATTGCCACTGTTCTTGAATGTTCAATACAGGCAGCTGAATGCAGCCCCTAAGGGATAGATACCTAGTAAGCCACAGGGGAAAAGACATCCCAGAGTAAAGGGGAGAAGATAAGCTGAGCCTGCAATGGGGTGGAGCACCAGATATCCTGTCTTCTATTTCCATTTCAAGTTTCTTCTTGGAACCCAAAGAATACCAGTCAACTTCTTTTAGAGAATTGTTATGGAAATTGGGTGACAAAATCTCTGTGTCTTCTTTTAAAAATAGCAGGAGCTAAGAACCAAGTCAGTCTAGAGGTGTTGGCTGCCATGTGGAGAGATCCTTCCCAAGAAGAAAGATGCTACAGAGTGTCCTGGATATCCTTTTTGCATCTCCAGATCCACCCTCCCTACCCTGCTCTGTGCCTCAGGAAGCTGCTTTTCATGGTTCACATCAACCAGGCTCCCATACCCTCCAGATGGGTCCATCCTATGGGAGGTACCAGCAGGAGATCAGAGAGATGGAGGAGGGAAACACAGAGCATTAGGGGTTGAATTGTATCACCCCAAAATTCATATGGTGAAGTATAACCCCTTCGGAATGTGACCTTATTGGAAATGTCAGAGGCACGTGAACCAGAGCAACTCCATCTTGAATAGGAGCTGGGTAAAACGAGGCTGAGACCTACTGGGCTGCATTCCCAGATGGTTAAGGCATTCCAAGTCACAGGATGAGATAGGAGGTCGGCACAAGATACGGGTCATAAAGACCCTGCTGATGAAACAGTTGCAGTAAAGAAGCCAGCCAAAACCCACCAAAACCAACATGGCGACAAGAGTGACCTCTGGGCATCCTCACTGCTACACTCCCACTAGGGCCATGACAGTTTACAAATGCCATGGCAATGTCAGGAAGTTACCCTATATCATCTAAACAGGGGAGGCATGAATAATCCACCCCTTGCTTAGCACACACTCAAGAAATAACCATAAAAATGGGCAACCAGCAGCCCTAGGAGCTGCTCTATCTATGGAGTAGCCATTCTTTTATTCCTATACTTTCCTAATAAACTTGCTTTCACTTTATGGACTCGCCCTGAAATTTTTCTTGCACAAGATCCAAGAACTCCCTTGGGGTCTGGATCAGGACCCCTTTCCTATAACATACCCTCCAGATCGGTCCAGTCAATGGGAGATACCAGCAGGAGATGAGAGAAATGGAGAAGGGAAAGGCTGAGTGTTTAGGGTTGAATTGTATCACCCCAAAATTAGTATATTGAAGTATAACTCCCAAGAGCTCAGAACATGACTGTATTGGAAACACGATTGTCACAGATGTAATGAGTTAAACCCAGCCACTCCTGAAAGACAAAGCAGTTCCACTGAGAATGAACAAATTTGGGGCTCTATTAACAAGGAAGAAGGGAGATGCTGTTGGGTAGACAAACAGTGGCAGATCCCTGATGATACTCTACTAGATCCTGGGTCTAGCTATGACTGAAGCCAAAATTCCCTGGACCTTTCAGGTACAAGAACCAATATTCTCTTTTGCACTTAAGCCAGTTTGCATTAGGTTGTTTATTATTTGAAACACAGAGACTTTTAAGCACTATTACTGTCTTCTCCAGTCAGGTAACCACCATTTATCCTTCATGATGCCTCCAGGAAGCCTTTCTGAGCATTCTCACTGTCTTTTTAAAAAATTATATATTTTTTTAAATTTTAGAGACAGAGACAGAGTCTCTCTCTGTCACCCAGGCTGGAGTATAGTGGCATGATCTCTCTCCAGCCTCAGACTCCTGGGCTCAAGCAATCCTTCTGCCTCAGCCTCTTGAGTAGTTGGGACTAGAGCCATATGCCACCACACTGGCTAATATACTTTTAAAACTTTTTGTAGAGACGGGGTCTCACTCTGTTGCCCGGGCTGGTCTCAAACTCCTGGGCTCAAGAGATCCTCCTGCCTCATGCCTCAGCCTCTTGAGTAGTTGGAACGAAAGGCATGCACCACCACACCTGGCTAATATATTTTTAAAACTTTTTGGAGAGATGAGGTCTCACTGTGTTGCCCAAGCTGGTCTCAGTCTCTTGGGCTCAAGTGATCCTCCTATCTCAGCCTTCCAAAGCACTAGGATTATAGACGTGGACCACTTTGCCCAGTCTCACCCTCTTAAGTTTAGGGAGGGCTCTACTCCAGTTTTCCGTGTGCGTCTCTGTCATAGCACCTGAGACTATAACACGGGTCTGCCATGTCTATCTTCCCTACTGAATCATAAGCTCTGTGAGGACAGGCCACACATCTTTTTTTTTTTTTTTTTTTATTCCTAGTGCTTAATTGACTGCACTGAGGCTGTGCATGGTGGCTTATGCCTGTAATCCCAGCACTTTGGGAGGCCGAGGCAGGCGGATCACTTGAGATCAGGAGTTTGAGACCAGCCTGGCCAACATGGCGAAACCCCATCTCTACTAAAAATATAAAAATAAGCCAGGCATGGTGACACGTGCCTGTAATCCCAGCTACTCGGGAAGCTGAGACAGGAGAATCGCTTGAACCTGGGAGGCGGAGGTTGTAGTGAGCTGAGATCGCGCCACTGCACTCCAGCCTGGGCAACAGAGCAAGACTCCATCTCAAAAAAAAAAAAAAAGTAATTAATTTTAAAAAACTGACTGCACTGCACACAGCAGGTGAGCTGTTCCCATTGAGTAAATGAATGAATGAATTCGCCACTCAACTCTCAAGCATCAAAGCAAGAAAAAACTCATGTACACAGGTTCTAATATTTAAAAGTAGGAATTGCTAATGTAATTCTGGACAATTTCTCTTTACTTTCTTCCCACAATATTTTACTATGAAAATGTTTCCATAATTTTTTTCTTTTTTCCTCTTTACTTTGAAATGGAAAACTCAGCTTTATAATTCAAGATAAGGTTGAAACGATCATTGTAGAATTGATGTTTCACCAAAAAGAAAAGGCTCCTTCACACTTTCTACTGAAATCTTTATTGGAGTTTTTAGTAAATAAAATATCGTAGTGCCTGAGTTACTGGAGATTATCTGCAATCTTTTACCTCATTGCTGAAAC